CCAGAAATACCCACGTACTTCCTTTTTCCATCACGTTAGGTCTGCCCAACGGCTACATCAGGGCACTCTTGCTCAATATCGTAGATCTCTTTGCAGAAGACTGCTTGGCATTCTATCTCATACACTCCAAAAGCAGCCATGTTGTCCTAAATTGTTTAATCAATACATATTTTAGCAGATGGCTTCAAAATAACACTTTTAATACAGAATGTGCGCCTTTCAGGGGCTGAATGGTCCCAAGATTCACCTTCCCTCAACATCTCAGAAAAAAGTGTTGTTTGAAAAATCTAATTTTAAGTCTAATTTTAAGTTTATTTTTCCACAGTTTACTTGGCTAGTATAAAAGTATGTTCTGGTTGCAACCTTACCCAGCCTCAATGTTCATTATGAGATAGATTAGTAACACTATCACTTTATTAAAACCAAACACAACAATGCATTGAATCCAGTCCTCTCAGTTAAAGGTCTTTTAAATAATCTAGATAAAAGTTTACATAAAAGTTTTACTCACTTTCTGAACCCCTCTTTCAGCTTAACAGACATTTACTTGCAATTTCTTTACTGTCATCAGCAGTACGGTTAAGTCACACTTATCCGCACGAAGTTAATATATATGCACATTACAATCCATTGGGAGGTTCTGGCAAGAAGACAGAATTGTTTTAGAAAACGGCAGGTTACACTGCACGTTCATTTTTATATGTTTGATGCATCAACAAAAGTCTACTCTGCTGCCCTGGCAAGTAAACTGAGCGCTTCCATTGCAGCTTACTAGAAAGTTGCTGTACAGTCACCGTGTATTGGACCAGTAACTATTGTGGAAGACGTTCAAAAGGCAGCCATCTCAGACAAATCTACTTCATTTTAGGAAAAGTGCATCTTGATACCTCTCCCCCCCCTGCCGCCCCATCAAGTTAAATTCAAAACCATAACCAAATTTAATAAAAGCCATTTTTGTTATGTTTACACTAAAATATCCTAGCCCTACATGTAAACAAATAATATATACTTGAATTCAACCAGCATCTAAAAATACTGCTGACCTCTTAAACACAGGAACACATAAGTCTTTGCATTCCAATCTATTTTATATGTTGAACCTATGGTGTTTGGAAAACAATTACCTGTTAAACGATTATCTTCAAGCTACCCTGCTGCACCCTGCCAGGCATGTTCTGTGCGTGGACACTGCTGCAGGCTATTCATTAGTTTATGTAGGAGAGGATTTGTTTATAATAATGGCTCAGTCATCTGGAAAACATGATCCAGTCAAACAATAGCAGGCTCTTACAGCCAATGAAACAAATCAGGAAATTAAAAAAAAAAGATGAAAAAAGAAACAGCAAAATGAATCTAATAAAACTGTAAATAACCTATTTATTAGGTTCTATTAACCTCAGCTTATAACCTCCACTGTTTGCATTTCACTAGGATTATCTACTTTTTAGAAAACCATATTTCAAGTCAAGCAGGAAAACACAATGCATCTGTTCTTAGGTCAAAATATTCTCTAGAATTATTTAGAATCTCAGTTGAGCTACACAGTGCCATTGCTCTGGGAGCTCTGGCTATAAAACACCTATTTTTAGCTGTCATTTTGCTGCTCACTGGGCAGGTTATGGGGACAAGCACCAGATGGGTTATCACAGCTAAATGACAGCCTGGGTGTGGAAACAGTGTGTTCTGGTATTACAAGCCCATCTCACCACGTTACACTTCACCAGGCTCACAAGCACCTTACTTTTCACGTTGTTGTTCAAGGGCCAAACTAGCAAGGCAAGCACCTGGCACACCACAGTGGGTTAGCAAAGCACTGAGTGGCACTAACTGTAACGTCACAAACATCCACCACCCTCACTCCACAGGGTAAATCAAGGAAATTCTTCCATGCTTCCAAAGGGAGCTGAAAAAGAAAGAGCAACCCTGCTCTTAAACCAGGAGGACTCATCACACAAACACCTCACCAGCCTAGGAGTACTATCTTCCTGAATAAAAGATTAAAAGGATTAATAATTGAGTTGACCTCAAGAAAACTACTAGAAGTTATCAGCACCAGTACCCTCTATTTCTGAGACAAAACTGGACTGTCATCCTGGTCCTCAAGAAGCCTGCAACACCTGGACACGGGTACAAGGGACAACCATTGCCATTCTATTGAGATTAGTAATTCTGAAGTAAATTCACTGCTTTAGAAGTTATGTTATTTCTAAATGCAACGTTGTAACGTCTTCTACCATCCCCAATTCAGTTTGGGCAACAGAATTCACAATTGCAAGACAGACTTGCAATTAATGCACACTTTTCACAGAGATTATTTTTTATAGCTAGGAATGCTGAGAATTTGGTGCCAATGTGCAGTTTGGACAAGAGAAATAAGTAGTGTCCAATGTAATACAATATTAGAAAATAAGTGGCAACTATCTAGTTCTGATTGCCCTTAAGCATATGATGGAACGTTCAGCACGCCTCATTTTCCATTTTGTCTTTTTGAGTGTTTAACTTCTATTTGAAGCTAGGCAGGTTCTTCCATTTCTGTGGAGGAATAAAAAACAGAAAAAGACAAATATTTTGCTATTCAGCTGTTCACCATTGGATGCTAGAGAACCTTAAGAGGTTAGAGAAAGTGTTCCCCATGTGACAAATTTCTGCTATGGTGACAGTTCATCTTTCAAATAAATAATTCGTGATTAAATGGTTTATTTGACACAGCCTTCATTAGCAACATGCTTCAGTTTGAGATAAGCATTATTAAACAACTACATTGCTTAACTGTGCTCTACTGAAGTGAGCAAAAGTTCTTCCTATGTTTACAAGAAACAGCATAAAAATCCTTACTAAATTTGTATGAAATGAGTCTGCTGGGCCTTCCTGCAGCCTTCAGCCATACTAAAATACATGGTGGGAGTTGCTCTTCTCTGTAATAAGGAAAAGTCAGATTTTTTTTGCTCATTTTCTTAAAAACTGAAGTTCACATATCTTTCAATAAAAAAAAACTGTTAAAAAAAATATAAAACATTCCCCCTAGATTAGTTAGAAAGCTTTTATGCATAAAGGCCCTGAATGGTTAAAACAATTAAACCAGAAAGGTCAAGAAACGCCAAAACATTGGGTGTCCAAGTACCAATTTATCATTTTTGTACCCAATGACAGCATTTGCATAATGAAAAAGCAAACACATATAGGAACTGATTGTATTAGAAAGTAAAGCTTTGTTTCTGTGGTGTGCAAACCAACCTTTACTTTTTAAAGTGCTGTGCACTATTCAATTACAAATCGAAAACAAAGAAGCTAATACATACTCCAAGATGTGAACTATTTTATACTTTTTACCAGATTATATAAATGCAATTATTCCAAGGTCCTTAAAAGTACACTTCCAAACTCAAGCATCAATAATTCACTCCTTCCACACAAACGAACAGCCTCTATCTACTCCCTGCTACTTTGCCTGGGCCTTCTACAGGAAACTCTCTATTGAGGCAGGAGTAGGCAGGAGTCCCACTGCCTCCTGGATCTTCCTGAACCACCTGTTTTTCTGTTCTTCTCCACTGCTATGAAATGCTTGGTTATGAAGTGGCTGCCTCTTTCAGTCTTCTGACTAAATGGACAGATAGATGTACCTAGGAAATCAAGGCAGAAGCCAATTCCTCAGTATACTTTAACAGCAGCTATGACAATTCAAAACAAAACTGTTTTCCAAGAGTAATAAACATGTCAACACATCTCTTCCGTCTACAAGCAGGTAAAAATATCACATGCCTGTCAAGATGCTTAAAAAACATTCAGTATTTGCGAGTGGGCTTGGAGGGGAAGAAGAAAAGCCTATCTAGTTTATTTTAGCACATTTTACAGAAAAATAAAGAATTTTTAAACCCAGAAAAACTCGATTAAGTCTGTTAAGCATTTACTTTTAGTTAATAACTGGGTCTGTTATCTGAAAAATGAACTGATCTCTTGGACATTTATAAAGCAATGTATTCACACAAACGTTAACTTAGTTGAAACCTTAGACACGTGCTGGTTGAGTGCTCTATACAAACAGTTTAAGGGGGCAATTCAGAGAATTTTAGATATTTTCTAGAGCTGTACATTTTATCTCCCATGACCACCAGCTGCAGTCTGATAAAGCTGTGGCTTCTGAAAAGGAGAATGTTGGACTGTGATAAAAAATTCTGGTGGCCAGGAAAATTAAGGAAAGAACTAAACTTCCTTTTTCCTTCACCAAGTACTAGACCTTTAATTATTCTATATGAAGTGAAACAGCACAGCATATCGTTGTTTATCATGGAGTAAAAAAAAATAATATTTGAAAACAGGAATCACTTTTATCTTCTCAGCTTAGCTTGCTTCTTACTCCAAACCACATTTTCTCCTGAACCTAGATCATGACCATACATTTTGTTGAAGAACATTTGATTAATTGGTCTTGTGAGCTTTTCAATGTTACTTGTTATGTGAGCCAGAAATACCTTTTCTCTGTTCTCTGTTCCTCTTCTCTGCCATCACGACACTCCCAGTTCAGTAAGGAAAGAGGTGGCGGAGTTGAATCAAGGCAGAATCTTTCCAATGGTAGAATAACCCTAGCAACAATGTTCAAAGTTTTTAATTCATTCAGCTTGTCCTTTCCTTCTTGCTTCCTTTCCAAAAATGAAAATAATAATAATAAAAAAAACACCTTCCCTATATGTAGAGATTCAATGAGCTATCTTACCCTTTTTCCTCTAAGTTTCTCTATACCAACTTTTACAGCTGGACTTTTAAGGAGAGCTATATTAACTGCCACTTGAAAACGACTTTTTTTTTAAGTTGCCCAAAATAGCATAACAAAGTGAAAAATCCTTTACAAAGATTCCATTTCAAGAGCAGAGAGCTATATTAACTGCCACTTGAAAATGACTTTTTTTTTTTTTTAAAGTTACCCAAAATAGCATAACAAGTGAAAAATCATTTACAAAGATTCCATTTCAAGAGCCGAAAGGGCTGAAAAGCAACAGACTTACCTTGCTGCCTCCGAAGAAAGTGTCTAATCTCTAAAGGCAGGGTCAAACATCCCAGTACACTGCAGGCGTATCTATCAGCAGCTGAAGGACAGCAATTTGCTGATGCATAAAATAGAAAGTAACTGTAACTGTTCTGAATATCTGCTGCCAAATTAATGTTTGTGTGCCAAGTCCCCAAATTCAACAAAACATATTTATTCAGAGGCTGTTTCTAATATCAGCATTTACTGATGATTTTTCTGGTAGAAAACATTATGGAATATGTATTTGCATTCCATACAGAATTTGAATCAATTTGTTGAGTAAAAGGAATAAAGTTAATCTGTAGAAGACCACAGTTAAGGCAGAATGCAAACAAAATTTCAGGTTTGGATTCTGGCTGAATTGACCACTTTTTTTTCCTTATGACTCAGTAAATACTTGGAAAAATTAAATTTAAGCAAGCTGTCAGTAACAAATTACAAAGCTCCAAAATTTTCCCAAAGCACTTTTAATTCAGATTATGAGATACTGATCCCTTGTTAGGGCAAATCATTACTCTGTCAGATATTTAGTATTTATCTTTCATTACTATTTGCATTTTATAGCACCTTGTCCATCATGTCTGCCACACATAAGTTATTAAAAACATCCCTCCCAAGGTTCACTCCATTTTGCATTTAAAATAATTCTACGACTCCAACCTTAGTAACCCAGAAATTTTCTTAATAATCTAACATACTTCTGTGATTTGCTATATCTCCACTACAGTTTCACCGTTTAAGTGGCTGCCATTCTTCATTTTGCCAGCAAAAGAAACTGAGGCATGATGAGAGATGTCCACACACTTGTTATCAAATGAGCACCGATTCCTAAGAGTGGTTTGTGCAGACTAGATTCCTCAAGCGACAGATCATGAAGGAACACAACTCTGTCTGAAGAACGTTCAGCAGAACTACAGAATTCCACTGAACAATTTATCCTACCTGAAAAAATGACACAATAATCCTATAATACCTGTAATACCCTATTCAAATACCCAAAGTGAATTACAAAGTATCAAAAACCACTGTACTGGGCCTAACAAGTACTAGACACCTAAACATGGTATACATTTCTATGGACAAAGGATGCAGCTTGCATAAACTTGAAAACCAGCTGTCAGAAGTTGGTATGAGCTAGTTTCAAGTGTCAGCTCCATTTTATATATCATACTATTTTAATAGTACTGGTTTTGCTATTAAAGTACTTCTGGTTTTGTCCTTAATTTCTTAATTCTATACATTTCAAAAGTTGGGTTTTTATTTTATTTTACAAATAACAGTAGAACAATCTTCGTAAAATTCCTGAGCTGACACATAGTCCTGCTTAACACCTCTCTGCACTAAGTCAAATACAACCCAATGTTACTAGATAGCTTTAAGAAATATCTGCACACACCTCAGGTCCCGCAGTTCACAGAAGGCCACCCCAGGTTCTGCAACACGCTTGCTCCTAGGACACACACATGGAGACACTGCAGTCACTAAATCCGCACCCCGGGCACTGCTTCTGCGACCAGAAAAGCAGCCGTTGGTGCAATAAGCTCTGATCGAGCAGCCCCACTGATAAACCCTGCACGACCTCTGCAGCTAAACTCTGTGTGTCATTACAGGCAAAAAGCTTCTGAAAATTCGTTACGTCTAAAACATCAACCTTCAGAGGCCTCTACATATACATATTTTGCCACCCTTTCTCCATCATTTTATTACCAAGCTGACTCTGGAACATATATCTGTGTTAACTTCAGGCAAATCTAACTGGAAATACCCTGTTAGGATAGAATTCTACACAGCTCATAGAAACAGTCCCTGAAGGCGGAAAGAAAAAAAAAAAAAAATCACAGAGTGTCCAACTCCAGGGAACATAAACTCCAGATGCAAAGTGGTCAGTCTGTTTGCTCTGCAGCTGCATGGGTGACAAACCTGCATCAACTTGCACGCTGCTTATAATTCTGAATAGGAATCTTCCAACAGTCCAAGCAGTGCAGGAATTATTCCACTCTAATTACAGCCATAAGCACAGAAACATTAATTTTACCATAAGAGTTCATACAAACAAACCAAAAAAAAAAAAAAAGATTTCTTTCTATCTTAGCTCCTTATGGTCAGACAATAGGAATGATCAGAGCTGGAAGCAACTTCTCACACAACTGCAGAAAAGTCACTGCTTCAACATATAATTAATTAATTGACATTACTTTCAAACACAGCAAACAGGCACACCCTTAATCATAAAACAAATCTCCTGAAAACTTGCTATCAGCCAGGCTCCTCTGAATGAATTTCTCAGGCATGCAAACCTTATTTTGCAAGCAGCCTCCACAAGCAGATTTTTTTCCTCCTTACAAGAGGCAGCATGTAACACCAATACAACCAACAGCAATAACGTTTTTAAAAGTGCAGGATGAATGCAGGGAGAGAAAAGGAGGATAATTTTATATCTTTAAGTTTCATAGACACACAGAAAATACTTTCTGAAAAAGTTTGAAATAAATTGTTTTCAATCAGATCTTACGTAACATGTTGCTGCAATGCTAAACTTAAAGAAAATTCATTTTCTTTTCTTGCCATTTAATTTCCTTGCTCATAACAACACTGTACAAGCTAAAAGTTGTAAGATATGTCCCCAAGACAAGTACAGCATAGCTGAGTGGTGTCAACTTTCTCAGTACTGCAAGAGCATCAACAATAAACAACAACAACAAAATTTGGAAATGGTCTAGCTTAATTATGAAGACAGGAAATAGTAGAAGTCATTTACAGGATTTTCACAATAACTTACCTAAAAATAAACATTATTGCATATTCCCTTTTCATAGTATTAGAATTACAGTTAATCAGACCAAAATCAGAAACATAAAGTGATAAGAAAACTCTCAGCCAGATCTGAAGCATTGTTTCTACATAAGTATTATTACTAATGGGGATGTAGTTTATAAGTTTTACTCATTCTATTAAAGACTCACCAGTTAGTATTTCTGCTTTCAACAGCTCTTACACCCTGCTGCTAAAAATGTTAACTTTATGAGTAATTAACATTCTTATTTACTCCTATTAACTTTACCACATATAACACATAATACATCTACACAAAGCCACAATCAAAAATCAACTAAAGAAATCTGAGCAAAAATTTCTGTAAGAATTCAAAATGCCTAAAGACAGAAAACGTTCCACATAACATGAAGACAAACTTAATTCTCCATTGGAGTCAAACAACTAAACATTTTTTCCCATTACTTGATCATGTTACATATCTCTTGGTTAACCAATTTAATATTTAACTCAAAAATATCTGGCCAATTTTAGTTCTGAGAGATACTGCATCTATCTTAGTCATCACTGATACATGCCAAGGTAAAAAAAAATAAGGAAAAAAATAATATGTATGTATGTATATATATATGCACACACACACATATATATACATAAGTCATTGAAACCAAGAAATCCTGAGATAAAACTGTCCCTATGCTTACTTCAGTAATGTAGCTGCAGAGAATAATAACACTTTTTAAACTTGAGAAAAGCTTCAGCACAATATTAGCTTCTTGCTGCTGCCAGTTAAGATACAACTGTCATTAGTACTGCTTTTCCTGTAGGAAAAAAAAAGCAGATACAGCAGGAAGATTACAAAATCACTACCATTATTTGGAAATTATTTGCCTGCATTTGTTTCAGATATGCTTTTCCTGTTTTGATGCAATTTTCTACATTACAGATAGTTTTGTTGGCTTCACTTCTGACTTGCTGGTTTAATTGCTTACCTTAATGAAACAAATATGCTATAAAGCTATTACAGTTGAGCAATTCTGAACAGGTCTCTGTAAATCAGTTGTCTTTGGATAACCTCTTTAAAGTTTTTAGCTTCAAAACTGGTCTGCATTAAAATTTTATATATATATATATATATTTGCAGAAGTTTCAGATAAAGTTCTTCCCAAATCTGTTAAACTCAACTATTATAGAAAACACAAGAACTAATCTGAACACTGTATCAAATTATTTTTCCTTTATCTAAGCTTGTATTCTCTAGCACAAAGTCCTTTTTGATATAATACACTATCAGAAAACGGAAGGGACTTAAAATATTTCAAGTTCTCTAAGAATGTGCAATATTGAAATAATAGGTTAGTTAGTGTTGGAAGGAGATAGAGGCCAAAACAAACTTTAACTAGGTGATTAACCTGGAGACTTTGGAGGACTTTTTTGCTGGCTGCAATTCAGACACTGCAGCAGGAGATTAATATTTAATTCATGCTGACAGGTTACTGCCTAGACTTGCACAGCCTTAACCTCAGCCAACACAATTACTACAAATACATCACACTTTCACAAATGACCTAATTTTACTGAATGATTTAGTCATTCTAAGGCTTATCTTATCTTTCTTAATTTCAAAGAAAATGGAGAGGAACAGGAGAGGAGAGAAAAAATTCCTCCAGTGAAGCACACGTGCAGTGCTGACAGGCATGAGCATACTGAATGTCACTTACTCTATCACTTGGAACTCTTCCCTTTACCCCTATGCAACTCTACCCTTTTCTGGACCTGCAATTATCTGCTTTTCATTAAAATAATAGTAACAATGCATTTCAATAATCTGTCCATGACTAAAAGACAACAAACCCCCCCACATCTGACAGGTATTACTGCTTAGGGATGGGGGCTTTTGGGGTTGTTTGTGCTTGTTTTTTGAAAAACCAAAGCTAACAACAATGGACATTTCATTTAGTTCTTTCCACTTCCAATGTTCCTCAACAGCTCACAAGACCCTTTGTATCCCGCAGGAACAACAAAATCTTACGGAAATACACGTCCATCATACCAAAGCTACATTTCTTTCAGCTGGGATCACAAAAGTAAAACTACCTATCAAATAGATATTACTCTGGTTTGAAAATGTAAAAAAACAACTTGACAAATCTAAAACAAATGAAGAGAGCATCTGCGATCAACAGTAGATACCTGTTAGTCCTAAGCACTTTTAACAACACCCTTGAGCCTTCAGGATTATAGACAACCTGCTGCATTTTTATTTAGGATAAAGTTATATCTTTGTCATTTTTCCAATTAAAAAAAAGGAAAAAGCTGGGGATTGGGGATCACCAAGCCCAAGTTTATATTTGCCCATGAACATTGCTGGGAAACATATACAAACCTTCCTAACCACCCACGCACTGCTATAAAAGTGTCTCAAGATCTTCGAAGCACACAAGATCATCCAGCTGCTCTTTGCTTAT